CCTGGTTTCTATCCCCAGCAACAAGGAAGAAAGACCCAGATCCTCTTTCCAGTGGGCCTCAGTCACCTTGCACTTGGTCATAGAAAAGCAGCCTTGAACCCAGCAACAACACCAATCCACCATTATCTCTTAATCCTGCAGTCTTCACTGTGCAAACCCTGCTGGGCACCTCACAGCAAGCCCTGTTTGCATAAACTAAACATTTGACCATGACCGGCCGGCTCCAAGGCTGAGGGGAAGGTTTTTATTGTCGATAAGGGACAGTGCAGCCAGAGGCCTCTGGAAGAGTCCAGAGCAGGGAGATAAAGTCCTACACTGAGCCTGGAGTGGCGACGGGACTGGGTCACGGAGCCGGGTGAGGGTGGGAGCTGAGGAGACAGAGTGTGGGCAGAGGAGATGAAGAGAGTTTGAGTGCCGGCCGAAAGAGTAGGGCTACACGGGAAATGGAAAGCTGGGGGAGGCGGGGGGTGTGCATGGAAAGCTGGAGGAGTTTAGGGTAGGGGGCGGGGTGGTGAGAACTGCGAAGAGCCACAGGTACTCGGGAAGCTGGGGGAGCCTGGAGGCCGGCGTGAGCTTTGATATGCTAACAGACACCACAGGCGGTCTTTTGTTTTCTTTTGGACCTGGCACAGTTAATGGGTTTACACAGTGTCCTGGGCTCTAACCCTACACTCTGTTTTCACAGAAATGTTACAGAAAAGCCGCCAGGTTTCCCGAGTTCTCTAACTCCCTCCATTTGGGGAGCCCGCCCGCCTCAGGGATCCCATTGTGTTCTTCTGCCCCAGGCTTCCAGTTAATAAAAGGCAAGGTTGAAACTATGAATCGGCTCAGCAGCTGAAGGCACTTGCCTCCTAACTGGATTAAAGACGTGAGCCACCTGCTGGGCATTGATGGCGCACATCTGTAGTCCCAGCATTCCGGAGGCAGAGGCAGGTGGATCTCTGTGAGTTCAAGGCTAGCCTGGTCTACAGAGCAAGTTCCAGGACAGCCAGGGATACACGGAGAAAGCCTGTCTTGGAGGGAAAAATGTGATCTACCATGCCCAGCTTTGTATTGATTTTGAAGCCAGGCTGGGTGACAAAGTGAGACTCTTGTCTCAAAAACATAGCAATTGAGAGAGGGATAAGCAGAGGTGAGCAGAGGGGGACGTAATATAGAGGTGGGAAGGGGAGAGGAGAGGTGGCCTAAGGGAAAGAGGTGGAGATCGATGCTCAGCCTTCCAGACACTCTTGAAGTCCCTTGTTTGCCTAGTCCAAGCTCAAAGAAGCTAGGACCGGGAAGAGAGTCACCAGGCCCACTGGAGAGAGAGGCCCGGAAAGCAGGACCCTTAGGCACAGCTGAAGAGCCAACCATACCTGTGTGCCCCTTTCCTAGTACTTTAGCAGGACTTTGGATCCTGTCCCTACAGGGACTCCCTGGCCTCCCACACTTTAGATAGAAGCAAGCTCTGCTAAATTCTACCTGATCCACGCCCCCAGCCCCTCACTGGGGGATTCTAGGCAGGGGCTCTACCGCTGAGCCATGCCCCCAGCCCCTCACTGGGGGATTCTAGGCAGGGGCTCTACCGCTGAGCCACACCCCAGCCCCTCACTGGGGGATTCTAGGCAGGGGCTCTACCGCTGAGCCACACCCCTAGCCCCACTTCTACCATTTAAATCCCTGCCCCAGTTTCTCACTGAGTTTGGTTTCCTTCCCTAAGCCCTTTGACCCTGACTTCTACCAAAGCTTCCCACGGTTACCTACACAATACAAATGTGCAAATATCTATGTGGAAAGCCCTGTTCTTGCCTCTGGAGACAAACAAGTCTGGCAAGCTGCCCATCTTAACGAATGCATGTACATTCTAGGAAACAGATACACAGTGGGACAGTGGGAAGGGCAGAGGCGACAGAAATGGATGTGAGACAGGACTAGCTGGGACAGGGTGTGGCCGGCAGCGCAAGCCTTTTATTCAAGCACTGGGTCAGAGGTCACTGGTGTACATAGTGCCTTCCAGGAAAGTCAGAAGCGCGTAGAGAGACCCTGCCCAGCCCCAAAACAAACAGACAAAACAAAACAAAATGCTTACTGGTCCTCCAGAGGATCAGAGTTGGGCTCCCAGCACCCATGTCCAGTCACCAGTGTGTCCACACCTAGAGCAGCCAATGCCTTTTTCTGGCCTCTGCCCATGCGTGGCCTAAACACATTCACATAAATAGAAATAAAATAAATCTATTTTTAAAAAAATGACAAAAGCCAGGCAGGATGTGCATCTCTTTAATCATGTCGTGTCCTTTTTTTTAATGATTTATTTGTTTATCTTATGTGCATTGGTATTTCGCCCGAGTGTATGTCTGTGTGAGGGTTATAGACATTTGAGAGCTGCAATGAGGGCGCTGGGAATTGAACTCAAGTCTCTGGAGGAAAAGCCAACGCATTCTCTCTCCCTCTCTCTCTTCCTCTCTCTCTGTCTCTCTCTCTCTCTCTCTCTCTGTGTGTGTGTGTGTGTGTGTGTGTATGAGACATTTAATTGAAGGGGTGGGCTTACAGTTTCAGAGGTTCAGTCCTTCGTCATGATGGAGGGTCTGGCAGCATGCAGGCAGACATAGCTGAGAGTCCTACATCTTGCAGGCAACAGGAAGTTGCATGAGTGTCACACTGAGGGAAGCTTGAGCAAAAGAGACCTCAAAGCCCACCCCCACAGCAACAGGCTTCCTCCAACAAGTCCATATTTCCTAATGGTGCTGTTCCCTTTGGGGGCCCTTTTTTTTCAACCACCACAGTCCACTCCCTAGCCCTCAAAGGCTTGTAGCCATATCATAACGTAAAAACACATTCAGTCCAACTTCAAAAGTCCCCACAGTCTCAAACCTGTTTCACAGTCCAAAGTCTCTTCTGAGATGCATGGCAATCTCTTAACTGTAATCACCCTGTGGAAATCAAAATCAAAAAACAGATCATACACTTCCAAGATATAATGGCACAGGCTATAGATTACCATTCCAAAACACAGCGGAGGGAGCATAGCAAAGAAATACCAGAACAAAGCAAGACCAAAAACCAGCTGGGCAAACTCCAAACTCTGCATCGCCGTCTGATGTCTGATGTCAAAGTAAAGTGCTCTTCAGAGCTCCAACTCTGTTGTTTGTTTGGTTTGGTTTTCTGCAGCACACTTCTTCTCTCTCTTGGGTTGGTCCCACTCCCTGTTAGCGCCCCTCCCAGAAGGTTTCCCACAACTCTGGCATCTCGAACGAACATCTTGTGTTCTCCAAGGCAATCCAGACTTCAGCTTCACAGCTTCATGCCATGCCTCTTTACTAGGCCTCTATTTAGGGACAGCCCAATGCATCCCTGGCCTCAATGGCTTTACTCCATCACGACTTTCTTCTATCCTTGACTCTAAAGCCAGAACCATGTGGCTAAGTCTCTGCCAAGTTCTGCTGCTTGCTGGCTCTGCAACATGGCCCCTCCTACAATCACATCTCCACCAGCTGTCCTCTTTCACTGCCCAAGCCTGGCTGTCCTGAATCTTGCTCTCTAGACCAGACTGGCCTCACACTCTGAGATCTGCCAGTCTCTGCCTTCCCAGTGCTGGGATTCAGCCAGTGCTATTAACCACTGAGCCATCTCTCTAGCCCCCAATGTTCTCAAGTCCTTAATTCCAGCACTTGAGAGGCAGAGGCAGGTGAATCTCTCAGAGTTGGAGGCCACCTTGCTCTATAGAATGAGTTCCAGGACAGCCAGAGCTACATAGTGAAACCCTGTTTTAAAATAAATAAATAAAACATCGATTGGACACTCAGCAATTTGTAAACACTTCCCATTGATCATTCAATACCAAGGGACTTGTGTTTTCTAGCTGAGACTCAGGTAGACATACTAGAGAGTGACAGAGTCCAGTACAATACAAACCAGTTACTCAGCCCCACTAAATAACTTCCGGTGGCTCCCAGGACTAGCCAGACCTTGTGGGTTATCCGGCTGAAGATATGCCCGTGTGGAGGGCCTTTACGAGTAGCGCTTCATAGCTGTATCCGTGCGGGGCAGGATATTGCCCTGCCGATGGCTGGAAGAAAGCCAAGCACTCTGTGTCACCTTTGGCCTGGCTCTCCTGGACTACCCAGGTTAGGGAGGGGAGGCAGTTGGCACCAGATGCTGGGCGTGGCTAGAGACTCTAGTCACCCAGTGGTGAAAGGTGCCTAGAGTTCTATGCAAATACTTTTGGGTGTCACCCAGCTCACTGAGCCCAGAGTCCTACCCCCCTGTCCTCTCTGGAAGAAATAGCCAGACTTCCTGTAAACACTTGGAGGAGTGGGATCGAATGGACCCAGATCTTGTGGAACTGCTCCCAAAGGCTGAACTCATACTAACTATGGAATTCTCAACACAAGGCCAGAGAGATGTCTCAATGGTAAAAGGCAGCTGCAGCCAAGCCTGAAGACCTGAGTTCAGTCCTCGGCATCCACATGGTGGGACGTGAGAACTGATTCCCACAGTTGTCCGCGGACCTCCACACTCAAACGCATCCATATAGGACAGGTAGTAAATAGGTATAATAAACTTTTGAGAGAAAATAACAGGGACGTTAACAAAAAGGAGCAGGGCGTGGCTGTGCATGTCTGTCTCAGCACTTGGGAGGTGAAGGCTTGAAGATCACCAATTCAAGATCATCCTCGGTTATGCAGGGAGTTCGAGCCTAACCTGGGCTGCTTAATACCCGTCACCCCCCCCCCAAAAAAAAGAGGGATGTGCATGCATTCAGCCACCGTGAGCACCACCCGATGCCAGCTGTACACTTTCCTTGGGTCTTTCGGCTGACGGCTTCGCGCTTGCTCACTAATTTGCCAGCTGGGTGTTGAGTCCACTCCTTCCCTCCACGGCATCACCCCGCCAACCACCCTCCCGCCCGCGCAGCCTCTTGCTAGCTGTGAATGCGCATGCGTGCCGACGCCCCCTCCAGCCCCGGATGGGAGGAGGAGATGAAGTGAGGTTGGGCCCCACGCCTTGGCTTATCCGGCTTCTTCCTTCCCTCTTTCCTTCCCTTGGGCGGCGTCTCCCGGCGCTCACAGGGCCGTGCAGATCCCAGGGTTTCAAGGTAGCACACGAGGCTTAGCCGAGAAGGGAGGGTTCCGGGGCCCCACCCCCGGGGAGAGGCCGCCCTGCAGGCGAGGAGGGCAGGGCAAGGTCCCGGTCCCGTGGAGAGAGATTGGGGGCTGAACCCGAGCATTTCTCCGCGGATTAGTAGACTTGGGTCCCGGTGCCCTGGTTCTTAGGAGTGCATGAGATGCCAAGTGTTTGGGACATCCCCAGTGAAAAGTCCGTTGTCTTTTTCTTCAGGCCTCCCTATCCTACGAGGTTCCCAGGTCTACACCAGGGATGCGATTTAGCGATCAGAAGGACAGGTTGGACACAACATCATCCATGGACTAAGACTGAAGGCAGGGTAAAAAAAAAAAAAAAAAAAAAAACCCTTTTCCATTTGAAATCCCTCTTACTGCACTCAGAGCGACAGTGACCTCTGGGACGGTGTGACCAAGGTCACGCCCACTGAGCTCAAAGACTCGCCCCTGGGTTTGGGTGGCACGGCCACTGACTGTGGTCCTTTTTGGATAGCCCCGCCCCTCCCAAGTTTAGTCCAAGCCGAAATAGCCCCACATCCCCACCCAGCAAAGAGATGATCTCCTGGTTTGATTTGCATATCCCCTCCCAGTGTGAGCTTATTTAGGCTCCACCTCCCAGCCCCGCTGCCCTGGTCCTAACACAATGACCTTCTGACTTTAGGCCCCCACCCCGTCTCCATGAACTTGGTCATCACCGGCGTCACCCCCGCCCTCTGCCCTGCTGCCCCAGGGTTCCTCTGCCAGCAAGATGCTGGATGGAAGCGTGAAGTCCGAGGCCAGGGTCTCGGAACCTAGTCCCACATGCCAGGACCCGGTGACCAAAGGTGAGAGCCGCCTGACGTCCAAAGGGATCATTCCCCAGGATTGACAGCTGAGAAGAACCAGTGTTAGGACCGTTCGGGTTTAGCCACCCGGCCCCGGTCTCCCCCCCCCCCCCGCGCGCAGCAGGTTGTAGGGGATCCCCCCTCCAGTCTGGCTGGACCTCCCATTTGCTGGGGCTCAGGAAATTACAGGAGGTGCATAGGGGATAATGTGGGATTATGGGGCAGTGCTATAAATGAGCACTTCACTAGGTTGCAGGACCGGGGTTGACAACTATTTGAGGCGCTCAGGATAGAATGTGGGGTAAAGGGGCAAGTAGACATGATCCTTAATGGGACACCAGTGTGACACTTGTCTGCTCAGACACTTTGAGATGCCCCTCTGGTACAGCCCATGGTGGGAGCGCAAGCCTCTAATCCCAGCACTCAGGAGGCAGAGGCAAGAGGATCTCTGAGTTTAGGGCCTGTTTGGGCTACAGAGCGAGTTCCAGGACAGCCAGGGTTGCATAGTGGGACCCTGTTTCAGAGTCGGGAGGGGAGGCAAAGCCTGGCCTGGGCCCAGGGCATACCTGTTACCAGAAGCTCATCAGCTCTCCTGTCCCCCAGACCCCCACCAGGACCTGCCGAAACCCAGCCAGCCCGCTGCATCTGGGAGCGTGCCCTGCCTGCCCCGCCGGCGGCCCCAGCCCCAGCGCCCACACCGCTGCCCGGACTGCCCCAAGGCATTCTCGTACCCATCCAAGCTGGCCACGCACCGGCTAGCGCACGGCGGCACCCGCCCTCACCCGTGTCCCGACTGCCCCAAGGCCTTCTCCTACCCGTCCAAACTGGCGGCGCACCGCCTAACGCACAGCGGAGCTCGCCCGCACTCCTGCCCACACTGCCCCAAGGCCTTCGGCCACCGCTCCAAGCTGACGGCGCATCTTTGGACACACGCGCCCTCCCGTCCCTACCCGTGCCCCGATTGCCCCAAGTCCTTCTGCTACCCCTCCAAGCTAGCGGCCCACCGCCACACGCACCACGCCACGGACGCCCGCCCCTACCCTTGCCCGCACTGCCCCAAAGCATTCTCGTTCCCCTCCAAACTGGCGGCCCATCGCCTGTGTCACGAACCCCCCGCTGTGCCCAGCAGCCACACCACTGGCCACCATCCATGCTCGACCTGCGGCCAGGCCTTTGGCCAGAGACGCCTCTTGTTGCTTCATCAACGCAACCACCACCAGTCCGGGGACCAGGGAGAGAGGGAATGATGGTCTGTCCTGCCCCCTCTGCCTCCATCACCTGTCAATAAAGACCAGAACCCCTAAGTCCTGCTGTATGTGTAGACTTCCCTCTAAGAGAGAGAGACAGCGTCTTGAAACATGTAACCCAAGCTGGCCTGGAACTCCCTGTCCTCTTGTGACCTTTCCAATCCCGGGTTCCAGTTACATCCCCGGAGCTCCGTTGGGATTGGCTATAACGGAATCTGATTTAAAAGGTTGGGGAAAATTCTATTAGTGTGGAGAGGCAGGCATCATGAGCTTATCACTGGGTTCAAACTTTGAGCCTGGAGTTGTGGGACACTGGTGCTGCCTGCTCTCCTACACACACAGTCACACACACAGTCATACACACTCACACAGATACACACACACAGCCACAAACATACACACACACACACACACAGTCACACACACACAGTCACACACATACACACTCACAGACACACACACAGAGTCACACACATACACAGACACACAGTCACACACAGACACATACACACACAGAGTCACACACAGACACCATACACACACACACACACAGTCACACACACACTCACACACACATACACAGTCACACACACTCACACAGTTACACACAGTCACACACACAGAGTCACACACAGACACCATACACAGTCACACACATACACACAGACTCACATACAGACACACACTTTCACACACACACACACACACACACACACACTGTATGGCAAAGGTAAAAAGCCTGCTGACATCTTGGGTTTGTGAGACTCATCAGCTCTTTGCTCACTGTTTAAAGTAACTCGGTGTCTGCCTTGGCCACACATTTGTTGCAGAGATTTACCTGCTACACTCAAGCCTGCGGTGAAGGCATAGGACACCGGCACTGTGGTGTGGCCACGCTGGGAACAGGCCACCGCGCTGGGAACAGGCCATCACATGCCCACCATCAGCTCTCAGTAAACACAGGGAAATGTGCGACTGTAGGAAAGAGGTCAGCACTGTGTATACAGTGTCCTGAGCACAGGAGGTGACAGAGACCAAGCAAAGGACGGACCACCAGCAGCAGGAGCAGTACACACTCAAGGCAGGAGTGTCTCTGAATCTCTTGGGTTCCTTGGACAAGGAAGGTCTCAGATGTACTAATTATCTGGGAGACAGGACTTTGGGTTTGTGGGATATCTGGTTTTTGACAGGGTCTCATGACTCCAGGCTGTCCTTGAGATGCTGGGGATTGAACTGGGGCTTGCTAGGCAAGCATTACACATGCAGGCATACACTTTTTGGTGGGTTGGTTTTGTTTATGTGTATCTGAGCGTTTTGCCTGCATTTATGTGTGTGCATCACTTGTGTACCTGGTGCCTATAGAGATGACCAACTCCAGGGCAGATCCCCTGGAACATTAGAGATGGTTGTGAGCTACCATGTGGGCCCTAGGAGCAGAACTCGGGCCCTTTGCACAAGCCGAGTGCTCTTAACCACAGAGCTATCTGTTACGCCCCCACCCCGTTGGACTGCCTATTCATCTTTTTTCTTTATTCTTTATTTTGTTTTGTTTGTTGCTTTGGAGCCTGTCCTGGAAATCGCTCTGTAGACAAGGCTGGCCTGGAACTCACAGAGATCCACCTGCCTCTGCCTCCCGAGTGCTGGAATTAAAGGTGTGCACCACCAACGCCTGGCTTATTTTATTCTACTTTTTAAGATAAGGTCTGTGTAGCCTTGGAACTCGTTATGTGTAACAGGCTGCCTTCAGCTTCAGAGACTGGCTGGCTTCTGCCTCCCAAGGGCTGGGATTAAGCGTGTGCCACCATACCTGGTCCCTTTTTGGTGTTTTAAGATGAGGTTTACTCTGTAGCCCAGGCTGGCCTTAAGCTTATGGCAGTCTTCCTGCAGCAGCCTCCTGAATGGGGACTGCAGGTGTTTGCCAACACTCTTGGCTGACAGGGTTGCTGCGAACTGTGTGTCATGCCAGGACAGGTCAGGTAGGCGTCTGAAGTCTAGAATCAGCTGGAAGAGCGAGCAGAGTGGGCCCTGCAGCCTCCAAAGGCCTGCCCCAGTCACACCAATTGTAGCCTAGACTCCCCCAGACCAGCTGCTGGAGAACATCTGTCTGAAGCCATCAAGTCCATGGCCCCTGACTTCTGTACCGGGAGTGCGGCCGCATCTGACAAGCCACTGACCCACTGACCAAATGCAGAGCCCCAGAACAGGGCCAGTGTGACCAGTGAGTGACAGTCGAGGGCAGAGATCCACCGATCCACCCGTGGCTAGGAAAGGGGCCGGCACCTCCCAGAGGAGGTCATCCAACGGCCAGGTTTCAACCCCAACTAACCCTGGCCCCACCCCATTAAGTCCAAACTCCTCAGCCTGGAGTTCACAGCCCTCTAGGGCAGCCCCATCCAAAAGAACTTTCTCCAGAGTGTTTTGAAATGTGTGGCTCTGTGACTGAGGACCTGAAGTCGGCCTCCCTGCCTGCCTTTTCTCTCCCTTCCTAGTCTTGGCTCCCCCCCCCGCCCCCAACCCCAAGAGGGAAAGTATGGTCTCACAATGCACCTTATGCTGGCCTCAAACACTTAGCGATCCTCCTGCCTCCACCTTCAAGAAGCAGGGTTATATACCATCATTCCTTTACGGTAAATGGCCACCTGTATCTGGTGGCACTTTCCTGCCAAATCTGCCCCAGAGCCCTTCAGTGTGAGCAGCCTCAGGCTACCCCCCCACTCAGGCTACTCCCCCCACTCAGGCTACCCCCCCACCTCAGGCTACCCCCCCACTCAGGCTACCCCCCCACTCAGGCTACTCCCCCACCTCAGGCTACCCCCCCACCTCAGGCTACTCCCCCCACTCAGGCTACTCTCCCCACTCAGGCTACTCCCCCACCTCAGGCTACTCCCCCACTCAGGCTACTCCCCCCACTCAGGCTACTCCCCCCACCTCAGGCTACTCCCCCCCACCTCAGGCTACTCCTCCCACTCAGGCTACTCCTCCACCTCAGGCTACTCCCCCACTCAGGCTACCCCCCACTCAGGCTACTCCCCCCACTCAGGCTACTCCCCCCACCTCAGGCTACTCCCCCACCTCAGGCTACCCCCCCACCTCAGGCTACTCCCCCACCTCAGGCTACTCCCCCACTCAGGCTACTCCCCCCATCTCAGGCTACTCCCCCACTCAGGCTACTCCCCCACCTCAGGCTACCCCCCCACTCAGGCTACTCCCCCCACTCAGGCTACTCCCCCCACTCAGGCTACTCCCCCACCTCAGGCTACTCCCCCCACTCAGGCTACTCCCCCCACCTCAGGCTACTCCCCCCACTCAGGCTACTCCCCCCACTCAGGCTACTCCCCCCACGCAGGCTACTCCCCCCACTCAGGCTACTCCCCCACCTCAGGCTACTCCCCCACCTCAGGCTACTCCCCCCACTCAGGCTACTCCCCCCACGCAGGCTACTCCTCCACCTCAGGCTACTCCTCCCACGCAGGCTACTCCCCCCACTCAGGCTACTCCCCCCACTCAGGCTACTCCCCCACCTCAGGCCACTCAGGCTACTCCCCCACCTCAGGCTACTCCCCCCCACTCAGGCTACTCCCCCACCTCAGGCTACTCCCCCCCCACTCAGGCTACTCCCCCCACTCAGGCTACTCCCACCACTGGCTTTGCCCATCACCCCCTTCCTCCTGCCTTGATTCCCTAACAGCTCTGCTCCATTCCCACCTTCAACATGGAGCCTTGAAGGGGCCTCAGGTCTGGGTGACTTGATGAGAACAGCCTTACTTCCCTCCATCCTGCCTCCTGAGTTGGACGTAAGCCACACTGGCAAACACTACAGTGACTCCAGGAGAGGAACCTGGGATGCCAGCACATGCTGTGAGCACCCACGCCTCCAGCTCGCAGCCCGGAGAGACTCCTGACATTGATGGTGCAGACCAAGCTGGGGGACAGTGTTGAGTGGAAGTTTCAAGTCCCTGCCTCCTATCACCAGGGCTTCAGACGCTGGGGGACAGAGCAGTTCCTCGGCAGATCTCTCGAAGAGTCCCACTCGCCTCTTCCCAGACCGTAGGACGGGGTCGCGGGGCAGCCCAGAGCCCTGGCCGGCACAGAGGACGAGCTGAACCCAGACAGAGCCTGAGCTGGACGCTCCTGAGAGAGGAACAACGGCTCCAAAAAAAGTCTCCTTTATTAACTCGTGTGTATACACGTGCACAGGTGTGCACGCTCAGGCCTGGGGCACCACCCCATAGAGCTGGTGAGGGAGTAACCTCTGCTTCTCGTTACAACTGTAGATCCACCGGGGCCGCACGAACGCCAGGGAGGGGTTGTCCATCAGGGCCTGGGGAAGAGGGGTCCACATGGGATAGAATCAGAGGGCAGAGGCAACTTGAGAGTGGTTGGGGTCCCCATCTCTGCCCCTCCAGGGCTCACCTCCTCAAAGCTGGGGTCCCACTCCTGGGCTGTGATGACGAATTGGACCCGCTCGCTCATGTAGTCCTCAAGCTCACTGGTGGGAGAGAGGAGGGGGCTGTGAGCGACCTGCCCGCTCTGAGGTATGCCATTGTCCACTGAGAGACTCCCACACACGGCAGCCTTGACAAGTCATACCAGCAATGCCCACGGAGCTAACCCTCTCAGAAGGGGTTAGAGAAGAGCGGCCAAGCCTCCCGGGCCACACAGCGCAGTGGCCGGGGCTGGCACCTGGACTCTGAGGCCTGTGCTCACCCGGCTGGGCACACCCACATCATCCTCCCTCAGCCCACACCCTCTAGAGTCAAGCTGCCAGCGTGCCCGTGGACCCACCACCAACCCCGCAACTGACCCATTGAAAGCTGTCACATATCGGATGAGCCTCCTCCTCTCGTCCCCAGGGAACTCCCCGTACAGGAAGAAGTGTTTGCCCTGGAAGAAGTCTGTGGGAGAGACAGGAAAAGGGAACAATCCACCAGGACCGCCGCAGAGAGGAAGGTGGAGGCGCCCGTCGGAGGATGAGGTGCCCGCAGAGTGGCGACCCCTGACTAGTGAGCTCCAGGCTAGCCCCCACCCAAGCCGGCAGAGAGAGGCTCCTGTGGCTGAGACAGCCGGGCGGCTCTCACCACTTCACCTCTGCTGGCCTGAGCCAGTTTCCTTTCCCATCCTGATGTGACTTCTCAGGTCACTGATTCGCTGTCCTCATTCTGGGAGCTTTGGGGGTCAGAGTTCCGCCCTGCCACCCCCGCAGCCTGGGAACCGGCCTGTCCGGTGACCCGGCCTCCCTGGCTGCACCTGAATTCTTTCTTCTCCCCTGGTCTCCTAACCCTCCTCTCTTTGTAAAAAAAAAAGAAGGCTCTTAGTCGAGTCCAGGTTGGCCTTGACCCTGTGACCTTTTGCCTTGGCCTCCTGAGCCTGGGATAGCAGGCCTGAACCACCACACCCTGCTCTCCTTCCATTCCTGACCCCACAAGGGCCAGGCACCCTTCTGCATGCCTGCAGTCTTCCCTGCCTTCTGGCTCCAGCAGGGGGTGGTAGCACACATGTGATCTAAGAACTGGGGAGGCTGAGGACAGCCGTGAGCGTTAAACACACACCGTGCCGGGTACTCAGGTGTCATGGGGCAGCGGACAGAGCTGAGCGTGGGGGCTGGGTGAGCAAATAAGGTCACACACAGCGAGGTCACTGGTGAGAGCAGGGAAGGGGGCCAGGGGCGCAGACGGCGGGGATTTCCAACCTGGGAGCTCTGGGATTGGCAGCTCAGCGTCTGTGGAAGCCTCGTTGTCGGTGTTCTCGTCTGTGGAGCCAGCGTAGGGGTCATCGCCATTCTCCCCGGGAGCTGGGGGCCGCCTCTGCTCCCTCTGCTTGGCCACCCTGGGAGGCCAAGGGTTGTGGAGGGTGAGCACTTGGAGCAGACAGCCACACCCAAGGTCAGGCGGCACCTAGCCCACCCTGCGCCGCCGCGTACCTCCTCAGCTCATCCTCAGTGTCTCCGGAATCTTCCACTCCATCGTCTTGTCCTTCTGCCAGTAGCAACTCAGTCAACAGGCTTGTTTTCTGGGGAGTCTGTTAACACCCTCTCAGGATGGCACCCAGAGTGCAGCCAGGGGCTGCGAACTCAAACTAAGTGGCTCTCAATCTAGACGTCTGGACCCACAATGCCCCCTCCTTCACTCCAATCGCCTGGATACGCTCCCAGGAATCCGGACCCCAGCACGGCCCTCACCTCAGGGCTGCAGGCCCCGCCCTCCTCCCCACCGGGAGCGCAGAAGCCCGTCATTCAGGCCCTAACCTGATCGCTCCCCCTCAGTGTCACTGCTGTCCGGGGGTCCGGGTGAGGGGGCTTTGGTCTCTTGTGCAGCGGGTGGTCTCTGGGGTGAGCTGGGCCCTGCTGCTTGGGTCTTGGCTTTGGCCGGGGGCCGCTGAGGAAGGAGGGCTGAGTGAGATGGGGCAGTGTGCGGCTGTGGACCACCAGCAGGGGGCAGGAGCGGGAGGCTGAGGCAGCACAGAGGACCGCGGCGGCCCCCAGCACTCCCTCCCTCCCGGCCAGCGAGGGGCATCAGACCTTCCGCGGAAGCTCGGGAGCTGGGTCTCCACGGCTCTCACTCTCACTGTGAGAGTCCTCCTCGTCCTCACTGCTGGAGCCAAGCCCTACCATGAGGTACCTAGGGGAAGAACCGGGCCTCAGACACAGAAGGAAGGGGCTGTAGTAGGAATCCACTGCCCCTGCCCTTCTCAGATCCAGAGGGGTCCACGGCTTGCCAGGCAGCTCAGTCACCCGCAGACTCCCTCCTGAGGAAGATCTGTTCCATTTGAAAGAGGAGAAAGCAATATGACCCCCACTTCCCCCAGCAACAAGGGGAATTATCGAAAGAGGTGGAACTCTGAATCTGGGGACTCAGCCAATCAGATCAGAGGAAAGCAGAGTCTGCAGTGAACATCCTCAGACTTACTCACTACTCCCTAACAACATGGTGTGAGAAGGGCTTGTGAGAAGGGCTTACGTGGCATCTACACAGACACAATCCTGGTTACAAATCATCTTGAGAGGAGTCTGAGGCAGGAGGATTGCCAAGTTCAAGGCCTGCCTGGGCTACAGAGTGAACTGAAGTCCAGTCTGGGTAACTTAGAAAGGCCCTCCATCAAAATAATAAATGAAAAGGCTAGGGATACGGCCCAGTGGTGGAGCCCCAGCCTGGAATCCCCCAGTGAGGGGCTGGGGTGTGGCTCAGTGGTAGAGCCCCTGCCTAGAATCCCCCAGTGAGGGGCTGGGGTGTGGCTCAGTGGTGGAGCCCCTGCCTAGAATCCCCCAGTGAGGGGCTGGGGTGTGGCCCAGTGGTGGAGCCCCTGCCTAGAATCCCCCAGTGAGGGGCTGGGGTGTGGCCCAGTGGTGGAGCCCCTGCCTAGAATCCCCCAGTGAGGGGCTGGGTGTGTGGCTTAGGGGTTGCTTAGCATGTGGGAAGCCTTGGGATCAGTTTCTAATAACACCGCGCATGCGCGCACATGCACACACAGACACAGACACACACACTCACACACACAGAGTATGTGAGCCTGGGGAGATGGTGAAGAGCTTATATGCTCACAGAGGACCCACGTTTGACTCCCGGCACCCACATCAGGAGGCTCACAACTGCCTCTAACTCCAGCTTTAAGGGATCTGACACCATGGCCTCCTCAGGTACCTGAGCACACACGCATCCTCCCACACAGTCACACATATAATGTAAATAGCAGTATTTATAAAATCATGTGGAAAGATATGTGCACTTTTCAGTAAACACTCTGCTATTTTGTGTAGCTTGTGGGTATGCGTGTTTTTGAGGATTTACTTATTTTTACTTTACATGTATAAGAGTTTGCCTGCATGTATGTCTGCTCATCATATTTGTGCCTGGTGCCCACAATGATGACAAGCAGTCATCAGATACTGAGACTGGAGTTAGATGGTTGTCAACCACCATATGGTTGCTGAGAATTGAACCCTGGGTCTCTGGAAGAGCAGTCAGTGCTCTTAACTGCTGAGCCATCTCTCCAGCCCCAACCATCATCAGAAGTTTGATCCTCTGAAGATTGTGTGTTGTGTGTGCTGAAACCAGCCCCCACTTTGACACACTAGGTAACTATCGTGTGTATGTGTGTGTGTGTGCATGTGTGTGTGCGTGTGTGTGCATGTGCGCTGAAACCATGCCCCACTCAGACACAGCTCCAGCTCCCTGCTTCAACCCAAAGCCTCTGCATACAGCAACCTGCTGTGTCCTTTCCCTTCTGCACAAAACAGCTATCACGGAATCTGTGACCCACCTAGGTAGTCACTTCCCACCTGGAGGCCATGTCCCTCTGGCTGAAACCAGCCGATGCTGGTTTGAGGTCACCTGAGCTTGCCCAGGCTCTGCATCGCCCAGCTCTGGGGTGAGAGGCAGGTGTGTGAGCTGCCTGAGAGGCGGGGCAGCGAGGCCTCACCTCTGGGAGGGCAGCCGGCGGCGCATTCGGTAACAGTCCAGCACCCATTCTTTCCGCACAATTCGGCCTCCGAGGCCCAGGACCTGGCTGTACTTGGGGGTGTTGGCAAAGGCACAGCTAGGGATGTAAAACAGGGGTGTCAGATGTGACCAACAAATGAGACGGGGTGAGAGACAGACAGAACAGAGATGGGGCTAAGGACGAGGGGAAGAAAGCAGAGGAAGTGAGGCAGGAGGCAAGGACAGACAGACAGAAGGAAGGAAGCGGGGAGGGAGGGCAGCAGAACAGGGAGAGTGAAAACGAGAGGGCAGTCCAGGGAGCGGTGGGTGGCACGGAGGAGGCATGTCAGCCTACATGAGGTGTGTGCTGTCCGGGGTCCAGTCTGGCCGGTACTTGGCCCCCAGCTCCAGGGCCTTGTCCCGAAGCTCGGAGCGGAAGGGGTTCTGGAAGCCACTGAGCACCACCACCACGCCCTGCAGGATCTTCCCCAGCTCCTGGGGGCCAGCTCGGGCTCCCCTGGGCTCCGTGCCTTCTCCCCGGGGCTTCCCTGGGACCGCCTTCTGTGCTGGGGCAGAGGCTGGGGCTGCAGCTGGGGGGTGACTAGGACCAGACACTGGGGAGTCAAAGAACAGAGAGTCAGTGGTACCCTGGGGTTGTGCCCCCAGCAACCTTATTTCCCAGACGCGGAAACCAGGCCCTCTCGAAACCCTTCTTGGATGACGGGGTCAAGCCCCCAGCCTTCCCTTATGACACACAAGCCAGGGTCTCTGCAGAATTAAGGAGTCCAAATTGCTTACGTTTAGGTCTCTTGAGGGTAGGTGGCCCTGCTGAAGGTTTGCTGGGAGGCTTCCTGTCTTCTAGATTCAAGTCCAGTTTCTTCTTCCCTTTGGGAGACTCCTGAGGCTGAGGAGGCAAGGAAGGGCTGAGGCCCCCGGCTCCTCCCATTCTCCACACCCCAGTGTGTGAGGACCTCACCTTGGAAGAGCTACCCAAAGCCTTGGAGACTGGCGAGGCTGAGGAGGCTGTACTAGAGGCCTGCAGCGTAGCTGCTGCGTAGCTGGGTCCAGCCGGGTCGCGAGCAGAGGCTACAGAGGGAGACGATGAACCGGTAAGAGGGCAGGGACAAAGACACTTCATCCCGTCACCAGGTTTCACGTCACTCCCAAACCCAGAGGTGACCCAGGGCTCGAGCCCTTCCTCAGACTCATCAGCCCAGGCCCAGCCTTCCGCCCTGGACGGCCTCGTCCCCAGACCCAGGGGTCTAGCCATGGCCCTCAGGGCTTAGGTTTCCTTTTGTTAAGACAAGTCAGGTGTCACACAGTCTGTGCTGAACTCAAACTTCCCACCATAAGCGCCTCATCTCCCTGGGCTGAGATTTCAGGCGTGGGCCTAGGCGCTGATCCCAGGCTCCACGCTAAGCGAGTGTTCTGCCCACACGAGTCCCCACGCGCACCTGGAGGCGTCTTGTTGATGCGACTGAAGAAGAGAGCCCCTGGCTTTAGAGAGCTGGTGCCGGCACCCTCCTCTTTCACACGGAACTGGCCGAGCTTGGTCACTGTCACCTTCTAAGGTCCCGCAAGGTCAGTGCTGTGGGAAGGCTGCTGGCAGGCAGGGGTGGAGGGGAGGGGGAGGGCTGTGGGGGTGACGGTGCGGCTTACCTGGGATGGAGCCTCCATCTCATCTTTGTCTGGAGGGCTGTGAAACCGCACAAAACTTAGGCCATAGGGTGAGTCCTGGAACGGGAGGTGTCTGGGTAGCACAGAGCTGGGCTCTCATGCCCGTCACCGCGGAAGCCCTCTCTGGCTCCGTCGGAGCAGGAGTCCAAGGGAGGGACAGTCAGGACGGTAACATTAAACCTCACAGAGCCCTAACTGCAGACAAGGCCAGGGTCAGCCCTCGACCTGCTCTTTGACCTCCACTGCAGATGGAAGCCAGCTGGCCGGCGGCGAGTCCACAGCCGTGTGCCCTATCTCTGTCTGGGGCCATTTATGCAGGACTACCAGGGCTCTCTGCCGCTCTGCTGTCAGGGTGCAGAGCTACAAGGTGGGCGCCTGAGTGACATTACACTGGGCCCGATGGGCCTCAAGTCACCCTCTAACACTCCCTCCAGACTAAGCTGCTTGTCACCGGAGGACCCCAAACCCATTGCTGGGAACACGGACACCATGATCCCACGGGGGCAGCAGCTGCCCAGTGCTCAGCGCCCTGGACCCAGGATGGCCCCTGGGACACCCTGCCCTGGGCCACATCTCTGCTTCCACATAGGTACCTTGCTGTATGGCTGGCTGCACACAATTTTGACGCGGTCCCAGCGCTTCTCCGCGGCTGCCCGGACTAACTTGTCGGGTCCAAACATACGGACACGGTTGGGGTTTGAGCCTCTTCGGCTCTCAGAAGGGGACATGAAAGAGGAGGTGACCAGAAGGACCTAGGGAGGAGACAACATAATGGACGAGGAACAGAGCTCCTCCTGGCGACAATACAGAGGCCCGGATGCCCTAAGGAACCCCAGCAGGAGTCTCAGTGAGAGGCAGGGTTCAGATGTTTGCAGATACTCGGCTGAGTCAGCTCAAAGGCCGGGAGAATTACAGGACCCAAATCCAAAGATGGAGAGAGCAGCGTCAGCTATTAAGGGATGCGTCCCTGCTCACACCCACGGGCAGGGGTGGCAAAGCACATCTCTGAGGGCCAGCTTGCCCTACCAGGCTCTGCCGAGAGGGGGAGCTAGAGAGGCTGCAAGCTGCACGGCAGACTCTGCAGACGTTGGGAGGCCACCCCAGCTCTTTCTGCCACACCAGATGAACCCGGTTTGCAGCATCCTCCACTAACCCCTCTCTGGGTGACACAGCAGTAGAAAGGGCGAGGCACACCTTCTCTTCTGGCCCCCATGACTCCTCCACTGTGACATGCTTCCACATGCCACCCTGCCTCCTGTTCCTCGTCCCAGGGGTGACAGCTGCCCTGCCTTCTCTTCTTCAGACCCCAGTCTTACAGCACAGCCCGTACTTACGGCCTTATAATAAATTCTGTCCACAAAAGTGATGGGCATGGTCTCTGGGTCCAGACCACGGCAGGGGCCACCACACAAGCAGGAGCGTGGGTAGCTCCATCAAGACTACTCAGGGAAGCCTTGCCTTAAAAAATAAATAAGCCAAGCTGGGTGGCGGTGGTGCACACCGGTAATCCCAGAACTTGGGAGGCAGAAACAGGCAGAGTTCTGAGTTCAAGGCCAGCCTGGTTTACAGAGAAAGTTCCAGAACAGCCAGGGCTACACAGGGAAACCCTGTCTGGAAAAACCAAACCAACCAAACAAACAAACAAAAAAAAAAAAAAAAAAAAAAAAAAAAAAAAAAGGAGACTATAACACTACGTCTCTTGGTGCCCAGCTCTAGGGAAAGGAAACAATGAAGGCCTCACTGGCCTCCATTCTACTTATTACACAGGGACAGATTCTGAGCTAAACTGCAGGGCTGGGCTTCTCACCGAGGGAGGGGGTGATGAAGGGAAATGCAACCGGCAGCTGCTACCCACACTCAGTGGCGGAGAGCCCCAAATGTCTCTTCCTATTCACTGTAAAGGGAAGCCACTCTGGGTATCACACTGCCTTTAGGCTTCCAAGTTAACCTTTTACTCTCTAGTCTGGGCTACCTCCAACTCTGATGAATCTCTTTTGCACAATTTCTTATACTAGGGATGAAGGCTAAACCTTCACACACGCTCAACAAGTGCTCTGCCACTGAGCCACACCCCAGCCCCTCACTGGGGGATTCTAGGCAGGGGCTGTACCGCTGAGCCACGCCCCCAGCCCCTCACTGGGGGATTCTAGGCAGGGGCTCTACCACTGAGCCATGCCTCCAACCCTCACTGGGGGATTCTGTGCCCAGTCCAAGGCTTATTTCCAATCCTGTAATCAATAACTTCCTTTTGGTGTATATTGAACAGGAGAAACCAGGCAACATGTATATAATGAGACACAGGAACTACAGAGGAATTTTAGGCACAAGCACACAGAAATGGAAAGTGCTGCTCCCACTGAAAACATCTAAGCAAGCGCTCCACCACAGATCTACAGTGTCAACGCCAACCCTATGTTTCTTTTGTTTTTATTTTTGAAACGTCTGGCCAAGTTGCTCAAACACTCTACATAGTAGCCCAAGCTGGCCTTGAACTTGCAAACCTCCTCTCTCATCCCCCAGAGTAGCTGGCATTACCAAGCCTGTCTTTCGCTGAGACCTGGGTGGAGGAGGAAAGACAGGCTGACTTTGCAGGAAATGCTGCTGCTGCCCTGTGACCTGGAGGGGGAAGCAACCTTGACTGACTGACTGATCTGCCATTTCCTCCTTCCTTTGATCTTCCAGCTGTCCGTAGTTCCCATAAGGAAACCAAGCACTTTAAGCCCCTGACCTCCCATCCAGCTGTGACTAGAACCTGAGACTTGAGTGAGTACAAGTTCCATTTGAAACTTTGCAGAGGCACAGCTGTTTACAGACCTTGGGAGCGCAGGCCTGAGCTGGCCACGGCACCCTCCAGATGGGCAAACACCGATTAAACACACACAAGAACAAACAGTCCAGCTATTATGAAGGAAATTCCGACCCATGTCTTACAAGAAAAGCAGTACTTTTTAAAGATTTATTTTACTTATATGTGCAAGGGAGTGTTGGAGCCTATGGAACCTAGCAGTGTGGCCCCCCTGGAGCTGGGGCTACAGATGGCTGAGCTGCCAGACAAGGTGCTGAGAACGGGCTCAGCTCCTCTGCCAGGACAGCACTCCCTCTCGACTGCTGACCCAGCTCTGCAGCTCCTCCAAGAACCGCTCTGTACCAATTCCCGTGGACTCCCCCAGAAGGTAGGCTGGGAGGGTCCCCCACCCTCATGTAAGCAATAGGAGATAGCAATGGCGATTCGGGGTATCAGCGTCTCCCAGCCCTGCTTACCTCATAGTCCTGCTCACCAGCTGTGGCCCCTCCGGCCGAGCTGCCCACCAGCACCTCCACAAAGGCCGAGCCGTCATTCCCAATGTCTATGCTGTGTATCTGCTCCTCCTTCTCCAACTGTGGGCAGAGAAAGGCCACCGTGAGTTCTGCCCTGGCTTGCTTTGGAACGGGGGACCAGAACTGAGTGGTGTCGCGATGTCTCTGGCAGGCAGCCTGGGACATGACATGGAGCAGAATTCCCTGAACCCATGCACACGCATGCCATCCCCACTGTACACCTGACCTCTCCACACTCCCACCTCCCGACGGGTCCACTGCCACGCACGCTCCTTGGTGGCAACAGCCAAAGGCATAGCTAGGCTCACTTGTCATACAAAGGACACATGACTCCATAGGCTCCCGAACAAGCAAACAGATGCGTGCAAGGGGCTCTGTGGCTTCTGCTCCTCAGCAAGTCCTGCAAATGGATCCCAGCGCTGTCGCACACTAGCTGTGTGCCCTTGCTGGCTCACCTGCTGGAGCCCCTATGGTCTCATCTGTAAGACAGGGGGCTCTTCCCGTGCAAGCGGCTGGCGGCCGGGCACCCGGCAGGCGCCCAGCAGCTGCCAATTAGGCATTGTTTTAATACTGGCCAACGCTGTGACACTGCTTTCACTGACAGAGCTACGGAGGGAGGTAAAGCTGCGGCTTGGTGTCACAGGCGTGTAAACCCGAGTATCTGGAAGGTGACGGACGGCAGGAGAATCAGGTTTTTGTTTGAGAGGGGGTGGTTTGGTTTTTTTGGTTTGTTTTTGGTTTTTCGAGACAGGGTTTCTCTGTGGCTTTGGAGGCTGTCCTGGAACCCTGGAGCTCTGTAGGCCAGGCTGGCCTCGAACTCAGAGATCTAAGTTCAGCCTACCGCTGACTAAAAGCGTGTGACACCACCACTGCCCCCCCCACACACACACACAGGTGACGCTTTAAAGTGTAGGAAGGGCAGTCAGGGATGGAATCATTTTTCTGAGACAGCATGAAGGCTGCCACCCAGTCCAAACACTAGGCTGAAGCCCCCTCCCCCCGTTTTTGAAGTTTATCTACTGTGTCATATGTGTCTGAACATTTTGCCTGCAGAGGCCTGAAGACGGTGTCAGATCCTCTGGGACTGGAGTGGGACAGCTGTGAGCTGCCGTTCGGGTGCTGGGAATCAGACCCTGGAACAAGTGCTTGTAAGTGCTGAGCCAGCTCTCAGGGCCTCATTTACAGGGCCAACGTCGTCCAAGCTACTTGTAGTCCAAAAGCTGGGCCCCTGGCGTGAGCTGCCACAGCTCCTTTCCGTTTCCTCTCGGCGTGTGTACTGGGGGAGTCGGGACACAACGCATACCTGGGACCCTGGCTACCGTCCCGTCCCAGGAGCTGGGGTTGCAGGCCGGGCCCACTTTGCCAGGCCTGTTCCCTTTGACTGGAGTGGCTTTGTCAGGTGCTGACCTAGAAAAGTCCAGGCTCCCTGCTGTGTCTATCATCTATCTGCGAGTAGGAGCGCTGCTGGATACAGGCTCATTCTTCACCGAAAGAAAGAGCCATTTATGAAGACTCTCACCAAAGAACCTGTGGCCGCAGCCCGAGGGTTGAAGGTACAGAAAGGTGTGTGGGTGTGGAGCAGTCAGGATGGGCAATGCCAAGCCTCCGGCTCTGCAGTCTGGGGCTCTTCCCACTCCCACCCCATCCCGAGACAGGGTTTCTCTGTGTGGCTTGGGAGGCTGTCCTGGAACTCACTCTTGTAGACCAGGCTGGCCTTGAACTCACAGAGATGCGCCTACCCCTGCCGCCCACCCCCCCCCCCAAGCTGGGATTAAAAGTGCATGCCACCCTCACCGGGCTGTCTGGGGTTCTTTTCAGGGTGCTGGATGAGGAGTTATTACAGCCCTCAAAGGCACCTGGTCTTGGGCTTCAAACATAGTCCAGCTGGTGGAGTGCTTGCCTAGGATGCAGGAACCCTGAGTTCGAGCCCCAGGAAAACACAAACAGAGAGAGCATGGTGGAGCATGTACTCCCAATTTGGAGGCACTGAACCAAGGAAAACAACACATTTGCTCAACCCGACCCGACCTGGAGCTAAACCCCAGGTCAGTCCGACCCTCAGGTGCGCACGGCTCTTAGGACCATTGCCCTGCGTGGTGACTCAGCTGGGCCGGAATCTTATTCAAAGCTGTCATGCCTGCTGATGGCCATCACAGCCACACCAACGGGATGCACCACACTGGTGGCTTCCCGCCCTGCTCACTCAGCTCGGGCCTCTGAGACCCGAGATCACAGGACCCTGTGGTCCAGTAAAACCTCCAGAGTATTCGTGAAGAGTTCGCCCTGCTCCCCTCCCGGGTGAGAACATCTGGCTACAACAGCAGGAGGATCGCAAGTTCAAGGTCAGGGCTGCAGAGACGGCTCAGTCGCCACAGCTACTCAAACCCACAAGAAGTTCATAACCTCATGTAATTCTAGGTCCCCAGGGACCCAATGCCTCTGGCCTCTGCAGGCACCCACACTAAAGCGCACCTACCCCTCACACACACACTTAAAAATAAATCCTTTTTTTTTTTAAGCAAATCTTTTTAACTGCCTATCTACTGCCACCCAACACTGCCCTCCTCTGCCGTTCTAAACCTCAGCCAAGGTTTCCGAGAGGCAGCTTTCTCCATTGGAGGGGGGGGGGGTCGTGGTGATAACCCTCCCAGTCCAAGGCCTGCTGGGAGGTGAAGCCAGAATCCAAGGCCTGCCTGGGCCACAGACTGCGTTCAAGAGCAGATGAGTTAACGCAGCAACGGTGGAGTGCTGGTCTAGCCTGCACAGCCTGCTCAATACCCAGCACCACAGAAGAAAACAGAGCAAAACTGAGTGCTCGCGCCAGTAACGGTGGACACAATGCAAAACCTACTCTAACCAGGGCTCCAAGTGCGGATGCTGCAACCACATCCTCGTCACAGATGCACAGCCTTGGACAGGAAGTGTTTCTGCCACCGTTGTGCAGGTAAAGCCCAAGAGAAAGGCAGCCTGCTGTCTGTGTACAGCGCTGCTCCTGGACCCACAGCACTGCACTCGGAGAGAATGCAAGCCAACACAGGACTGTCTGACACTGAGCCCAGCTGACTTCCTGTGTGTTCAACCATTCTTCTCCAGCTACATCACCCATCTCCTATGAAGGAGGCAGAGGCGGAGGCGTCCGCCTGCACACCTGCCACGCCAGAATCTGAAACATTCTTCACATCTCGCCACCGCTCATGCCTTCCTTCTGAGCAAGACTCAGATGTCAACACTTCAGACCAAACGAAGCGGCCCTCTCCATCTCCCACATGGGGTCCCTCTATTCCTAGTCTGCTTGTCTACCCACAGAATCTGGGCTGGCCTGGGGCCCTGCACACACCAGGCAGACCTCTACCACTTTGGTTTTACATACTTTAAAAAAATAAAAACTGGGTCTCATGTATCCCAGGCAGGCCTCAATCTTCCTATGTGGCCAACAATGTCCTTGAACTCCTGATCCTGCCTCGTCTCTTTCTGGGTTAATGCAGTGCTAGGGATCAAACTCAGGACACTACCCAGTGAGCTACACAAACAGCCCCAACCTGGTATTCTATGCTTGCATTTTTGTTCGCGTTTTCCCTGATCTTCCTACACGAGACCGAACGAGATGGGCCACAGGAAGTGGGCCGAGCTGAGCCGGCTGGTCAAAGAGCTGCCCTGCGTGCTGCCCTGGAAATGACAGGGAGGGCTGGGGAAAGGCTCAGTGGGGAGTGTGCTGGCCTAGCATGCAGGAGGCAGCAAACGGAGCTGACTAGGAAGGACGGACGCCAGCTCCAGTTCAGCCTCAGGCACAGTGGGAGACCCCGCCTCAAACGACAGCACAGTGGTGCCCACCCATCATTCAGCAGCGGGGAGAGGGGGGGGAGGGGACCACAAGTCAAGGCCGCCCAGGGTGCACACAGTGAGTGCCTTTCTCAAAACTGAAGAGCCGGCAACGGCTCAACACAAAACAATGGGCTGGCTCAACACAAAACAATGGGCTCTGGGCAGACAGCTCGGTGGTTAGGAGCACTGGCTGCTCTTCCAGAGGTCCCAGGTTCAAATCCCAGCAAGGACATGGAGGCTCACAACCATCCATACTGGAATCCGGTGCCCTCTGCTGGTGTGCAGGTGTACATGCAATCAGAGCACCCACATACATAGCTAAGTAATAAATCTTTTAGAACAGATAGTTTTGAATACGGAAAGGGCTACAGCAGGTGTAGGCTCATGACTGAAATCCCAGCACCTGTGATCTGAAGGCTCACGCACAGAGCAGAGCTCGAGGCCAGCGCCTGGGCTACACAATGAGACCCTGTCTCAAACGACAACACAAGGCAAGCATGATGTGTTCCAGCTGCTGTTGACACTCAGGTGATACACCAGTATCCCCTCGAGGACAGGCGGGGTTGGCAAAGAGGTTGGGCTCCGTGACTGGAAGGAAGCAGGTGACCGCTTGGGCACAGAGCAGCCACGGCTGATACTGCACAGCAGAGGGCTGGAGGAGCCTGTGTGGCAACCCCAGCGTTGTGTAAGTGTTTGGAGAGCACACAAGGGTCGGCTGTCTTCTCTTGTGTTACCACAGTGCTGGCCTCTTGTTTATTCTCAGCAGGGAACAAGGAGCCTGCGCAGACCTCAGCAGGGCCCTATCCTTCCTCTGCAGACGTCTTGGTGGCCCCCGTCTCTCAAACAGCCCTTTCCCGGCCCTGAGTGCTGTGAGAGGCTCCTACCCCCGCCCCATCAGCTCTGGCCCCACCCTGCTCGCCTGCCGGTGCCCTCCCCGTGGGTGCTCAGCCTCCTCTGCTCAAAGTCACCAGACTCCAGGCTGCAGTGAGCAAAGATGCTGGCCTGAAAACCCAGAGTGGAAGGAAAGAGGTGACTCCTTCCTGCAAGTCGTCCTCTGACCTGTACAAATGTACATATGTGCAGCAGTGCACACGTATAAACACACAAACACACACACACTAAACACATATAAACACACAAACACACACACACTAAATAAGTAAGTTAAAAAAAAAAAAAAAAAGGTTCATGCCTTTAATCCCAGCACTCGGGAGGCTGGGCAGGCGGATCTCTGTGAGTTCGAGGCCAGCCTGGTCTACAGAGTGAGTTCTGTGACAGCCAGGGAGGGCACCACGGAGAAACCCTATCTCAAGAGAATAAAAAAAGGCACCAAAAGTCACCAGTGGGGCTGCAGATGGCTCAGGGTTAACAGCGCTTACTCAGAGGTCACAACCACCATCCCTAACTCAGTTCTAGGGAATCCAATGCCTTCTTCTAATCTCAAAGGCATCAGACACTCAAGCGCTGTGTGTCCCTGCGTAAGGAAAAACACCCATAAACATAATTTTTTTTTAAATTGGGAGGGGTGGGCCGAGACAGTAGCCCTGGCTGTCCTGCAACTCTCTTTGTAGCCCAGGGTGGCCTCGAACTCAAGAGATCTGCCTGCCTCTGCCTCCCCAGTGCTAGGGTTAAAGGTGTGCGCCACCACATTCAATTTAAATTTTTCAAAAAAGTAACAGTGCTCATATTTACTTAAAAACCTGACCCCCTTGCTCATTCACAGCATTCAAGGCTCACTGCCTGATACAGGGTCAACTTAAGGAGCCTTTGTCAGCCTTTGTATGCTGGGGTTAAGCCCGTGCTGACCTTAAACTTGCTACGGAGCAGATGACCTTGAACTTCTGACCCTCCCGAGTACTGGGGTGACAGGCGTGCAGCACTATGTCCAGTTTATGTGGAGACAGGGTTCAAACTCGGGACTTGGAGTGCGCCGGGCAGGCTCTCCTCCAACCCTTCACACCCAGCCAGGCAGGCTCGCCACCAGCCCCGCCTCCAAGTGTGAACATGCTCATTATGAGCTGCCCACACTGTGAAGAGCCAGGACTCACAGAAAGCACTTGGCACACACTCGTCACACACTCATGGAATAACTGATTGAGTGAAGACATGGTGCTACACTTGATCCTAACCACAAAGCTGAGAAGTGATGGATGGATGGATGATGGATGAGCTACTCCAAACATCAACGTCTACACCTCTGACTCCAGGTCCCATAGGACCTCTGCTTGTCTCCCGTATTTTCTTCTTTTCTGTTTTGGTTTTTTGAGGCAGGGTTTCTCTGTGTAGCTTTGGAGCCTGTCCTGGAACTAGCTCTTGTAGACCAGGCTGGCCTAGAACTCACAGAGATCCTCCTGCCCAGCCTCCCGAGTGCTGGGATTAAAGGAGTGTGGCACCACCTCCCGGCCCATATTTTCTTTTACATTTAAAGCTCTTTACGTATGTGGGTATTCTGCCTGCAGGTATGGCTGTGCCCTCAGAGGCCAGAAAGGGCTTCCTTTCCCTTGGAATTGCAGTTGCACACGTGGGTGCTGGGGATCATACCCAGGTCCTCTGAAGGAGAAGCCTGTGCTCTTACCCACGGGACACCTCTCCATGTGTCATTTATTTAATGTATGTGTGTTGGGGGGGGGTGCAGGCATGCCATGTCATGCGGAGGTCAGAGGACAACCTCTCAGTCCCGATTCTTTTCATTCCCAAGCACTCTTAGCAAACTGAACATCACTTGGGGGTGGGGAGGTCACCTGATCGTAAGCAAGGCCTGAGGAATCACTGTCCCATAATGAAATCGCCAGCCCCTCCCTTTATATCAACTCGTACATGTTGACAGAGCACTTCTGCAGACATTATGTCACCACCGGGTTTTTACAACCACCCCAGCCTTGGGTGTCTTTATTCTCAATGGGTACGCTTGGAGATGAGAAAACATTTGCCTGAGGTCGGCATGAGTAAGAGGGAGACGTAGGATTTGAATTCAAATCCCCAAACTAAAGGGTAAGCAACCTGGTTCTCACACAGTTTAAAAGACAGGCTCTCAGTTGTATAATTTTCACCGGGCCTCAGTTTCTTTATCTGCAAAATGGGGATAATGACAGTCTGGGTCATGGGGTTTTATGAGGCTCAAATGAATCAAGCCACGTGAGGTGTGTAGGCTGCTGACTGGCAAGTTATAATGGCAAATAACATTAGTTTTCATTACCAGTCTCTGGTTAAGGATTTAGGAGATACTACTTAAACACCTAACGTTGGCTGGCAGATGTCTGTTTGCTTGTTTGTTTCAACTTCTCTATAACCCTCAAAAGGCTCTGTGAGCCAGAGCCACTAAACAAAGAGGCCACAAATACACTCAGTAGTAGAGAGGGTCTGATGAGTCTTGTCCCCGCCAAGGTCCTTCACCTAACACCCCTCGACTCAGAACTGAGGAATGTGGCCAAGCAAAGTGTGTGTGATGGACACTGTGGTTGCGGTGGCAGCTGGGGGCTGTAGCTCAGCAGGGCAGACGGAAACAGAACAGGCTAACAACATTTCCAAAAGCACCATCAAGAGTGGGCTGTCTTAAACTGTCATCCCTGAGGGGCAACAAAGACCTTTACAGCCAGAAATGGGCAGGTGCTACAAGCATCTACTTCTTTTCCCCCACCAATTTTAAAGGGTTATTTTTATCAGCCAGGTGGTGGTGGCTCACAACCTTAAATCCCAGCACTCGGGAGGCAGAGGTAGAGTGGGTTCCAGGCCACACAGAGAAACCCTGTTTTGAAAACAAAATAAGACCAAGAAAGAAACACCGATTTACTCTTAGCATCTTAAATAAGTGTGTGGAAGGAGGGTGTGACCCCAGAGGCCAGCAGTATCCGATCCTCTGAAGCTGCATTTACAGGCTGCGTGAGTCATCAGTGGGTGCTGGGAACCGAACTCAGTCCTCAGGGAGAGGAATTGCACTCTCAACCATTGAGACAGCTCTCTAGGGCCTTCCTCAAATCTCTTGTTCCTTTCAAAAGCTTTTTTCTATTTATTTGTGTTATTTGAGACAGGGTTTCTCTGTGTAGTCCTGGAATTCACTCTGTAGACCAGGCTGGCCTCAAACTCAAAGATCTGCTTGCCTCTGTGCCCTGAGCGCTGGGATTAAAGGCAAGTGCCATCATGCCCATCATGCCCAGTGTCGGCAACATTAACATGTCTTGATCGTAGGACATGAGAAGAAGCGGGGAGGGAAGTATTGGGTGTTTGAGTCTAGCCTATGCCGAGAAGTGAGACCATCATTAAAAAAAAATAAAAGTCACACATGCTCCACACTCAGGTCTTTAAGCCTGCAGAGCTCTGGTTTGGCTTCCGTTAGAACATTGCAAAACACACTCGGAGGCCAGATGTGGGGGCACAACTGGGGACAGAAACAAATAATCATAAGTTTCAGGCTGGGGGAGACACTGATGACCTGAGTTAGATCCAGGGGACCAGGACCCACACACACGTTGGGAAAACTGACTCCCACAAGTTGTCTTCTGACCTCCGTACGCGTGATGCCACAGGACTAGTGCCCATACATGTTCAGAAACATGTCAGCCAGGCTGGGGACTCGGCTCAGTTCGCAGACCTCTTGCCTGGCCTGTAAAAGGCCCTCAGTTCAAACCTCAGTACTCGGTGTGTGTGTACATGTTTGTGTGCATTTTAAGTTAAATGAGAGAAAGGCAAACGGGCAAATGGTAGACCTGATGGTGCCCACCTGGAATTCCTCCAGCCCAGGTGGACAGAGCGGAATCAGGCGTCAAGACATCAGCTTCAATTTAAGAAAACGGCACACACCTATAATCCCAGCACTCAAAGGTGGAGGGAGTCAAATCTCTGAATTCGAGGTCAGCCTGGTCTACGGAGTGAGTTCCAGAACAGCCTGGACTCTGTAGAGACACCCTGTCTCAAAAACAAAACAAAGCGCCAAACAACCAAACAAAACACAGTCAGCTGGCTACATCCAGTTCCCTCCTTATACTTGTTTCATTCACTTTATTTCCTGGCACTAGAATAAAACCAAGGGTCTCACGTGTTCCAGGCAAGCCCTGTAGCTGAGTTGTATTCCTAATCCTTTTGTTAGTAGTCCCTGTGATGCTAATTACTTTGTATGTCTGAGACAAATTCAAAGTTGTCCAGGCTGGCCTTGAACTTCTGACCTTCCTGTCTCAACTTGCCAAGCAACTGGAATCACAGGCCTGAGCCATCAGCTCCTCCAACTTGTCCCTCTTTATAATATAATGAAACTGGAGAGATGACTCTGGTTAAGAGCATTGACTGCTCTTCCAGAGGACCTGAGTTCGATTCCCAGCACCCCACATGGCAGCTCACAGCTCCAATGCACATGAAATAAAATCGGTAAGTTATTTAAAAAATAACAATATAATGAAACTGATTTATGTAGAAAACCTTCATGGCCACCTTCTGGCCCTCACTGTCCCAGCTGAGGCCCAGAGGAAGAGTCAGCCTACTGAAGACACCCACTAACTCCTGGTCACCGCTGGGCTTAGACTGTTCTCTCCTGTGCCAATGGGACACTGGGATTTCAACTTGCCCATTTTCCAAGCAAGTGAGTTGAGCAAAACCTCTCTCTACCATGGAAGGGGAAGAGACTTAACCTACTGCCAGCTGGCTTAGGAATGAGGCCCGGGGACTCACAGCCCAGGGAGGATGAGGAGAGAAAGGGCAGCATCACCTGTAGGACCACAGAGATGGTCTTCTCTCCTGCCTTGGCTGCCCGCCACTTCCGGTAAGTGTCGGCCTTGAGAAGGTTTTCTGCACAATGGGTCTGCAGACAAGAGCAGGAAAGTGGAGATTCGTTAAATAAAGCTTATTTGAAAAATAATAATAATAATTTGCCGGGCAGTGGTGGCGCATGCCTTTGATCCCAGCACTGGGGAGGCGGAGGCAGGAGGATCTCAGTGAATTCGAGGCCAGCCTGGAGTTCCGGGACAGCAGGACTACACAGAGAAACCCTGTCTCAAAAAACCAAGAAAAGGAAGACAAATAAATAATAAAACCAAAACAATACAGTAGTTTCCGGAAACTACTGGCCGACTCTCCGCACTTACCCCCGGGGCCCCCTTTTTCCTTACTTCTGCGGGAGTTCCGCAGCGGCCCCAACCTGCCCATCGCTCGGGATGCAGGTCCGCCCCCCCCCCCCCGCCCCGGGGATGCCTCCCTCCATCTCCGCACTTCCCACGTCCTCAGCCCCCCTCGGGGAGCCCCCGCGCCTCCCCGCCGCTCACCGAGTCCTGGCTGCTGCAGGACACGACGTGGCGGAGGCTGATCTCCGGCATCCCGGCCGCAGGACGAAGGACCAGGGTTCCAGCGGCGGGGACCCCGGGAGGAGGTCGAGGGGCAGCGCGCCCGGCACCGCACGGGACTCAGTGCGCAAGCGCGCGACGCGCGGGCCTTTCAAACCGCGGCGCGCCGCGGCGCACGTCGACACCGCGCATGCTCGGATCGGATGCGCCGGAGCGAGGCGCCCGGTCCCCTTAGCAACAAGCTCTCCCTCCGGCCCCGCCTCTCTCTGCTCCGGCCACTCTCAGGCCTCGCTTCCCGATGACGCACGGACTGGCTTTCCGGGAGCCTAACCACAGGGGCGGCGGCGGGGACTGGGTCCTGCGTGACGCTTGCCCGCTCATTGGACCGTGCGGTTACCAACCAACCGAAGCCTTGGAAACGCCGAGGCTTGCTGAGAGTTTCCCAGAGCCTGCATCCCGCTTGCGAGGAGATCCCCTCCACCTGTTGTTGCGGACACGCTCTGTTCCCTTTCGACAGACGGACACAGACAGACAGGCGCACACAGATGATAAACGGAGATTTCAGAACTTTCTTAGAGCTTGGCTTGAGACCAAAAGAGGAAGAAAGATCTTAAGTAAAACATAAAACATGTTCCCGACAGACAGAGAGAGAGAGAGAGAGAGAGAGAGAGAGAGAGAGAGAGAGAGAGAGAGAGAGAGAGAGAGAGAGGACAGATGACAGAAAGAGCTCTCAGACACTTCTTGGCTCTTGACCTGACACCAAAGGAGATGGAGAAAGACCTTAAATACAAACTATGCGCCATATACACGCGCTCGCGCGCACAGGCTAGCTAGCATGCTGCCACAAATGCCTTTTTTCCCAATGCTCTGTGAGCATGTGTCTCCATCCTCGCCCATCTCTGGCCGCTGACAGGCTCTCTTCTGTTTGGTTCCTGGAAGAGCTTGGAGCCCAACACAGCTCAAATACAGAAGAGTAAGTGTGAGAGGCAGGCACACTAAAGGGAAAGGAAAAGTTGACAAGGCGCCCGGCCCCCGCAAGACGGGCCTAGACATGCTGGGCGCTCCCAGGTTAGGACCCAACCCACGCTGGGCGCCTCCTTGAGAAAACAGAAGAGGGGATGGCAGTCTCCGAATTTGCTCTGCACCCGCAGGGAATCAAATGACTCCAACCTTAGGCTTGGTGGGGGGCGGGGGGACATATAAGTAACCTTCTCGGTCCAGGTGGAAGAAGACACTGGAAATCGAGACACTTTCAGTCCTGGTGCAGGAAGGGTTGAGTTCGTGATGTTCGGTTTTCTTGTGGATGCTGGCTTCATGGCTCCAACCCGGAGGCTGTGGAGGACTGCCAGGGGTTCTGACCTTAGCTATTTCTCACCCCAGGGTGAAGGTGGGACCAGACCCGCCCTTACCTGGCTTCCTATAAGGGCACAGGACCTGGGACTCCAGGTCACACATCATGAGGCTGTCTAGAAGACACAGGACCTCCCTGCTGGCTTTCACACTGCTCTGCACCCTGTTGGGTCTCGGTAAGTGCCGTCGGGATGTGGTGTCTCAGAGGGCATTGTGCAAGGTCCGAGAGAGACACACACAGAGAGAGAGGTGTCCTGAGAAATCAGATTTATGAAGGATGCAGAGAGTAAGGAGGACAAAGCCTGGGTCTGATGGGCCCCAGGAAGGATCTCAAACACGGCATCTGAATTCTGGGAAATCCGATGAGTGTCAGAGAAAAATCTTTAAAATGTAACTAGTTAGTAAGGACAGGGGTGTCCTTTCTCTCTGGACTTAGAGGAATTCAGGCCCTAGCACTCCCAAGGCAGCTTCCCTGTCCCTGGGGCCCTCCTCTGTCAGGGAGGACTTCATGCCACGGATCCCTCTGGACCTCAGTCTCCCGCTTTGACTTAGGACACAGACCTCAAAGTCAGGTACCCCTGCCTGAGCTACCAGACGTCTGTGGTACCTTCAGGAAGGCGAGTTCCACACCCCAAGAACCAGCTGGACCTGAAATCTTACAAAAGCCCCATAGAAAATTCTGCCACGACCCCTCCCTGCCTCTGAGCTTGCTCATAGGACCCTGGCGTCCAAAGTCCTCAAGCCTTGTAATTATTAAGTAAAACAGGCTCTGTGGTGGAGTCATTTCCCGCCCTAGAAGCCACTTCGCTGGCATCGACACCGCTTCCTCGTCAGACTCCGGACAATTCCCCGGACAGGCCTCGGTGCCCAACCCTGAAAACCCAGGAAGACTCTAGTCCCTCCCCGCAAGTCATCTCCCCCCCCCCCCAGCCCCAAAGCCCGAACCATGGTCAGAAGATCATCCTAGTCATGGCCACACACCCCGCTCTCTCCTCTGCTCGCTGCAGGGTGCTCTCTAAGCTGTGAAGTATGCAAGGGCTCTGGACACACATGCAGCGGGAAAATGAAGACCTGTGAAGCCGGCAAAGATGCATGCGTGGTTCTCGTGGGCGAGTCCAGCACAAGTAGGAGGGTGTGGCTTCAGCCAAGAGGGTGGGGAGGATGGGGACCTTCGTCGTCGAGGATACCACCCTGTAGGTGGGGGACGGTTACGGGGAAGAAAAATCAGAGATGGGAGTGGTGTGGTGTGCTACAAAAACGCTATGGTCAGAGATTCTGAAACTGAGGCTGTGCTTAAACAAACAGAGATGGGAGAATGGAGAGATGAAGCAGCAGTCAAGAGCACTGGCTGCTCTTACAGAAGACCTCTGTTTCAATTCCCAGCACCCACACGGTGGCCCGCAATGATCTGTAACTAAAATCCCAGGGCATCAGCGCCCTCTTCTGGCCCCCCACCGGCACTGCATATTTGTGGCGCGCGCGCGCGCGCGCGCGCGTGTGTGTGTGTGTGTGTGTGTTCGTGTGTGTGTGTGTGTGTGTGTGTTCAGACTAAATACCCATACACAGAAAATAAAACGGGGCAGGGGAGGGGAGCTGCGTGAGGAAAAGATGAGGGGACATGGAAAACTAGCAGGAGGAAAGAGGCTTTTTAAAAATGGTTTTATTTGCAATTATGTGTCGGGGGAGGCGTTATGCAATTGAGTACAGTGCTTGCAGAGGTGGGGAGAGAAGGTCAGATCCCCCGGAGCTAGTTACAGGCAGCTGTGGGACTCCGATGATGCGAGCTGAACCTGGGTCTTCTACAAGGGCAGTTCATGTTCTTAGCTCAAGAGCCATCACTCCAGCACAAGGGAAGGGCAGAGTGGAGGGAGAGACGGGAGGGGAGCTGGGGTTGGGGTCAGGGGAAGACAGCAAGGGAGCTGCCTGGCTGGAGGAGGACTGGAACCCTGAGGGATGGCGCAGCACGATGAAGGTGAATTTTAAAAAGCAAGGAAAGGAAAGGGCACAACGGCTCCGAGGTATGGTGGAGGAGACGGTTTAGAGTGGATATGAGGGCGAGCACAGGGAGGCAGAGGCAGGGACATCTGGGAGAGTCCAGAGCGGACATGGTCAAGACCCGGCTGGCCCATGTGGGAGAGGAGGGGGAGGGAAAGGGGGAGAGGGAAACCGGGTGCAGCAGCCAGGAGGCCGAGGTCCAAAATGCCTGCACTACGTAGGGCTGAGCCTCCGTGGCAAGGGCGGCCCAGCACCTGGGCTGGAAACTTCAGAATGGGGGTGGGTGGGTATGCCATCCCTACCCTGTAACAGGTAGGGACGGAGGGGTGAGTAGGAGAACCTGGCAGCCAGGTCCAGCTTTGCTATATTAAAAGGGCATTTCAGCCATTTGTCCTAGGTTTGAAACTTAGCAGGAGGTGGGGAAGCCCACCTGGCATAGGTACAGGGGTAACCTCAGGCGGCTCGGGGAAGGACGTGTATCCACAGCACAGGGGACTGGGTCAAATGGGCGAAGGAACCAGGTCAGACAAGCAGGCTGCTACCTGCCAGCCGCTGTGCACTAGGCGGACTGTGAAGGTGGCCTTTCTGAGATGCTATGGGGCCAGAGAGACGGCTCAGCAGGTTGAGGCCCTGATGTGCAGGGCCTGAGTTTGGTGCCCGATCCCACAAGGTAACACAACATGAGTGACTGCTGAGAGCTGGCCTGGAAGCACACTCACTGGGGCACATGGGACATGCATACACTATATACGCCACAAAAATTAAATGAAAATTGGATGGTGTGTATGACTAATTCATGGTGCTAGTCACAGAGTCACAGGGCACTGTCATAGAAATGAAAACCAGAAGCGATGGTGAAGAAAACATTACAAACTGTCATCATCTGGTCATCTTCTTCCTTCAAAGATTCCAGAGCTGTCCTAGAACTCGCTCTGTAGATCAGGCTGGTCTCGAACTCACAGAGATCTGCCTGCCTCTGCCTCTGGAGTGCTGGGATTAAAGGTGTACTCCAGCACCACCCAGCTCCTACAGACCGTCTTTACATTTCCTCCCAATAGCTCTTTCCCACAGCCTCCATGGTATTTTCAACTCTTCCATCAGGAGAGAACAAAGAGGCTAACAGGTCGTACCCAGTGCCAGTGGAGCTCATGGTGTTGGCCAGGGAACTGAGGAGGAGCGCTTCCAGACCTAAAGTCATGCACACACACACACACACACACACACACACACATATATATATATATATTTTAGCCGGGTGTGGTGTGCACGCCTTTAATCCCAGCACTGGGGAGGCAGAGGCAGGTGGGTCTCTGTGTTCTAGGCCACCCTGGTTTACAGAGCGAGTTCCAGGGAAGCCAGGGCAACATAGTGAGACCCTGTCTCAAAAACGTTATTTTATGTGCATGCGTATGTATATGTGTTTGTATGTGCATGTGGGTGCAGATATCCAAGGGAGCCAGAAGAGGGCGACAGATCCCTGGAACTATCCTTAGACTGTTAGCTCCCAGATGTGCGTGCTGGGAACCAAACTTGGGTCTTGGGTTCTCTAGAAGTTCAACAAATACTCTTAACCAACCAGCCTTCTCTCTAGCCCTAGCGCGCGTGTGTGTGCGTGTGTGTGTGTGTGTGTGTGTGTGTGTGTGTTCTATACAGGGTTTCTCTCTGTAGCTTTGGAGCCCACCCTGGAACTCACTCTGTAGACCAGGCTGACCTGGAACTCACAGAGC